ATTGTTCCACGGTACCACTCAGAATGCGACCAAATAGCTTGCACTTACCCGAAAAACGCTAGCCAACTGGACATTATGCACTCACTGTTCCTTCAGCTTTACATCCTGAATTGAAGAAACCGTACACAACATTATACATTATAAATTTGTACACATTGCAGGTAGCAAGTGACCTTGCAGTTTACAGAATGCTTGTAACGCTTGTCAACCAGACTCGACTTTGGTTAATAACGCTGCAATGCTGGTTTTCTTTCTTTTGGCAAATTTCGGTAAATACATCATCAGACAGCTTTTCAGTTCAGTATCTTGACGATAAAAAAATTAGTAATAAGTGAAAATTCTCCTTAATTACAAGGATCAACAGTCCACTTTTCTAGAAAACTGCCTCTGCTGGCTCTCCAGCTGGCGATTTGATGCACATGTACAAACAATCGGTAGAATACCTCATCACGATCCAAAAGGAAAGGTAATATTTTTTGAGAGGCGGTGACGATGCTCAACGCACATTATAGGCATATCGAACTGACTAAAGTCTTGTCAAGTATTTCGACGAAGAAGCGGTAGCATACCAGCTAGTTCGTCATCAAGTTAAAGAGCACTGGTCAAACAGAATAATGAATTGCTATGTATAACATATGTGTGTACTGGATTAGTCATTAATTCATCGTCTGACCTTCCGAGCAATGTGAATGGTCGAGCGCAGCTATGCCAGACTTGTCTATCCTAGACTGCACACCTCCAGTTAGTATTAACTCTCAGTTCAGTGTTTCTTCGCCACTACTTTGGAGGCTTTTAGAGGCTTTTATGCGTTTTTGCATGTATGCAATTTGCAATAATTGGCCAACGCACGGGCTGCCCGTACGAAGATGCGTTTTTTGCATAGTTCCCCACAGTTTTTGTGCTGCCGGCACCAGTTTTTTCCAGCAAATGGTGCTCTCGGCACCAGTTTTTCCGGCGAATGCTTCTAGCTAAACAAATTAAGACTGGCCACCAGAACTGTCAGGAAACAACCCATTAAAATTT